TGCCGACTGACCGCTGACCGGTAGGTGTCGACCGGTGGAACGGCCTGCTGGTCGGGCCCGACCAATCCAGGGGCGCCGACCGTCAGCGTGACTACTCTTGAATGAAAGCGGGAAAAAAAAAAGAAAAAAAAAAAGATGATTGTTTCATCGGAGTTGCGCTGACTGATCAGGAGGCCGAACCCTCGACAATCTGCAGAGTCCCTATATCGACACTTTGGGTCGTGAATGTTTGACCCTTGCTGAAAGCAGACTGCCAGCAGACGACACCCCAAACGGAATACATAGCAGCGGGGCAATCTCTGTAACAACTCAGCGAAGCACCAGGCACAGGCAACGCGGCCTGGGTAACCCTAAACTGCACGGCGTCGAAGGTAACTTCATGGAACGACAGCCCAAGCGGACGGGCAGTGTGGCAACAACACAGCAGAGTACAAGGCGACACTGTCAAACAGCCAAACCACACGGCATGCAAGCAAAGTGCACAGGAAGACAATGCACACCCATGCAATGGGCAGCAAGGCAACAACGAAGCGAAGCACAAGGCACAACCAACAACCCGCAGCCAAACTACATGGCAACGCACCAACTGCAAAGAACGACATGGGGAGCAAGCGCGATGGGCATAGACAAGCCAGCCGTCGAGCATAGACAAGGCAGTCCACACATCCAACACAGAGCAAAGCAGTACATCACCTACTCAGACCGCAAGTGAACCCCTCAGAATGTTGGTTCTCACCACCTGCTGAGCCGGGGAGTCACTCCAATAAACGTCCATCGTCACCCGTAGGAAACACAGACATCCCTAACTGAACCCCCCCCCCCCCTAGCGCTACAGGCACTCCAAAGTTGTCCCACCCTCGCGAGGGGTCTGGGGATCTGGGGGTGTGCCAGACTGTTTCGTCGGACTTTCTCTGACTCAGAAAGGTGGTTGAACCCCTACAGTCTGTGTCCCAGGATGCATTTGACTGATGGATAACGACTCACCACGTCGCCCAGAGTTAGCGATACCCATCCTTGAGAGAGAAAAGTGGTCGACTTTACTTACGCCAGCCCTGCAACCCTAGCAGACTGTTCTCCAACCCCCTGACAAGAACGGCAGCAAGTCTGTGTGTGTATGTGTGTGTTTGTCTCCTGCAATCCCTTGTTTGGAACATTGTGCTATGCAAACCTGAGTCTGTTTATCTCCCTCGTACCGCTGCTGTGTGTGTGTGTGGTAAGTAATGAAAACATAACCCCAGCGACCAAGCTTCACACCAGACGACCTTTCCCAAAACAACAACACAGCGCAAGAACAAAAGCACGACATTCAGACGAGAATGCCATCGTACAGATGGACCAAGTCCTCATGGCGAGAGCTCAGCCTGACGGTTGAGAGAGAATGGTCGAGTCCAAAAGAACGACTTACGAACAAAAGTGAGGAAAGAGGCAGGGGACAAAGGAAGTTGATGACAAAAAGGTGCAAGTTCACAACAGAGAGCAAAGGATGGAGGGCATGGGGGAGGCGGGTGGGCAGACAGACAATACACAGTGCCCAAAACACAACCAACATGCCAAAGAAACATCCCAAAAAAGTGAAGTATCAAAACATGCAAAACCGAAAAAAATAAACTGATGATGACAAGATTGTTTCGTCGGAATTGCACCGACTCATCAGGAGGCTGAACCCTCGACAATCTGTGGAATGCCCGTATTGATGGTTTGGGTCATGAACCCTTTGACCCTTGTTGAAGGCAGACTGTCCCCAAGCAGAACATAGCAGCGGGCAGCAACCCTGCGAAGCACCAGGCAGCGCAGTAGAGGCAACACGGCTGCACAACGCCAAAAACGACTGCAAGGAACGACACTGCACGCCAAACTCACAGCACGGCACCCAAGCACTGAAGCACCAGGCAACACCACCCAGACAACCACACTGCAAGGGACGAGAGGGCAAGTGGACAAGCAGCAGAGCGACCATGCTGAGGAGCACAAGGCAACCCCAACACGACAACCAAACTACAGGGCGCGCAAGCAAAAGACCCGGAAGGCACGACCAGCAGACGGGCGGCATGGCAGCGAAGCAGCAAGGCAACACCACAACCCGGCCACACCACACAGCGAAGACAGCAGCATGCCAAGAACGACCTGCGAGGCAAGCGGAATGGGCAGCAAGGCAGTGGTGGAGCGCAGACGGGGTC